TCCGGGGTCTGAGGCCTCAGGGGGTACAGTTTATCGTAGTGCTCTCGGTACTGTTTAGCAAACCTCTCTAACTGTTTAAAGGGAAAGTAGTTTTGGTGAACGTGCTCTTGATGACTCTTTAAAATCAAGATGTTAGAAAACAACTTGCCACAGGAGTCACACTCCAGCTTTTCCAGGTTCTCTCCCTGCTCAGTCTTCCCATTCTTCTTCTGCACCTTCTGTTTGTTCTCGTTGTACTGAATGACCAGCTCAAAGCCAAAGTTCTCCAGTAAGGCCTTGGTGGCGTTCCCTCTCGCATCTGAGGCGATGCGCGGAGGGAGCATGGAAGGCTCGGAACTACCTGCCGGTGCTAACTCTTTCTTCTCTTTAGCCTTCAAGGCATCCGGCAGCGATTCCTTGGGTGCTGGGTTGCCCTCTCCCACCTCAGCACTGTCCCTCTCTCTCTGGCTTTCTTTTTCCTTTTCTTTGACGATCAGTTTGTTTTTCTTTTCGGGGTGCTGGCTTGGCTGCAGAAGGGCCGAGTGACTCTGGGACAGAGACAACTGGCTTTGCTGCTGCTGCTGTAGGATCTGCTGGTGGCTCTGCGGCGGGATCTGAACCTGAGCCTTCAGATCATCCAGCAGGCCCGGGCCCGTCCCCGTCAGCGTCAGTGCCCCGCTGGTCACTGGCAAGCTCACCTCAGGGTTGAGCTGGAACTCTGCACTGGGGATGTAGAAGGGGAAGAGGAGATGCTGCTGCTGCTGGAGCTGCAGCAGGGTCTCTGTGGTCATGGGGAAGTGAGGAAGGAGGGTGGGGTTGAACAGCTGAGACTGGATCAGGGCAGCCTGCTGCTGCAGCTCCTGCTGCAAGTGAGCTTGAACTTGAGCCTGGGCCTGGGCCAGTGTCTGTGCTTGTTGCTGCTGCTGCTGCTGTTGCTGCTGCCTGGATGCAATCATATCTGCTAGCTTCTTCCGATTTGCCTCCTTGGGCTCTGAAGGGGAAGTGATATTGGCACCGATGGGATTCCCCAGGGGCGGCATCCCTACGCTTTCAGCGGGCACTTGGCTCAGTAAGTTGGAGCTCGGAGCGATGCCAGCACTGCTTGGATTGGTGGTGGTAAAGGTGTTACTGCCACTGGTGCTCACAGGACTTGGGGTGGAGGAGCTCAGGGAGACACTGCTGCTATTCCCAGTCCCATTGCTATTGCCACTTGCAGCCTCCAACTTGGCTGCTCGGGCCTTGGTTTGATGCAACACAGACCTCATGTGGATCTCCAAAGTGGAACTCTGGCTATAGGCCACATTACAAGTGTTACACTTGAAAGGTTTGTTGTCTGGGCTGCTGGTGGGTTCGGGCTGACCAGTTGCTGACTCTTGAAGGGCTCTCTTTAACTTATGCAGGTGGGAGACAGAATTGTAGTGCACTAACAGGATATTTTTTTGAGTGAAGGATTCCTTGCAGACGGTACACTTGTAAGGGCGAGAGGGGTCTAGAAATTTTTCCATGGTGAAGTTGGGGCCTTTCCTGAAAGGTAGAGCTCTCTTTGGCTCTGAGCCTGAGTCTTCTTGTACTGACCCAGAGTCACTGCCTGTTGGGCTCTGTTTATCTTCCAAATCACTCTCTTCCTCCTTGTCTTCCTCAACAATTATGGTGTGGTCCTCGGCCAGGGTAGGGTCTCCCATTGCCAGGAGGTCCCCGTTGGCCAGAAGGCCACCATAAAGCTGTTGGATGTCGGCCTCACTCAACTCCAGGTGGCTTGTCTCAAGGTGTTTTTTCAGAGCCTGGAAAGTTCGGAAACTGCGCTGACAAAGACAGCACATGGTGGCAGCTCTGATCACGTGGTACTGAGAATGGAGCTGGAGCTTTTCAATGGTCTTGAAAGCCAGGCTGCATTGATTACAGCGATACTTGTACACATGGCGATCTGACACAGGCAGCTGAGGCCGCTTGGCATGAACCTCATTGAAGTGGGTCTGAAGAGTGGCAGAAGTTTTGAAAACCTGGTTGCACCCCTTCTTCCAGCACAGGAAGCCTGAATCTTCTCTCACAGCCCCTGGGTCAGCAGGAGAAGGTTTCAAATCTCCACTGTGCTCTGTGCTTACAGAGGGCAAGATGTTCTTTCCCAAATCCTCTGAGGTTTCTGTAAAAAATAAATAAATACATACCAATCCCAATGATAAAGAAAGCTTTCTTTCAAAGATGGCTCCTAGAGCTATCTACCTAGCAAGTCCTCACAAATAGAATCTTCTCATAAAGGAAATACCCAATTGGAACACAGACTGTCTCCATACAGCTCCTGCAGAGAGTACATATTATAAGCAAGTGCACACGAACAGAGGGGAATAAAAGGAAATACAAAAGTTTCACTCATAATAGGAATGTATTGTATCATAGATCTCTTATACAACATTCAGTTGCTTGACTCAGCATCTTGAATTTCTCAAGCATGGGTTTGAAGGTTACTGATCTTAGACTGGATTCCCCTTTTACATGGACCTGAACTGTAGAATATGTGAATTAATGCCATCCTACATTGGGGGAATTTAAGATAACTGCTGTCCCATTGTAATACAAGAAATTTTGGAATATTACTTTTGACTGTCACCGCTATTTACATTCAAGTGGCCAACTATTAAAAGATGTAACAATTTTTTTTATACCCATACATATTCTGACCCTTTATTTAAAAAAGTCAGCTGTCTACCTTCTAATATGGAAAAATCACAAGGGAGGAAGTGGGCCAGCCAATAATGTGGCTGAAGTCTTCCCAACTTAAATCTTAGGTGCTGACAAGAGGTGAAAGATGTAGGAGAGCTTCATAAATGGAGGTCTAATGATCCATCTAGCTTGGAACCACCATGGGCACCAACATCCATGTCTTAAAAAACGTTCTTTCCAAATGCACCTCTACACTGGGTCCTAAAGCAATCCCAGAAGACTCAAAGAACTTCGTGCAAAGGAAGCTCCTAAACAGACAACAAATCGAGTGCCCCAAAATCATTCACGGGGGCCAAAACTCCCTAATAATTAAGTCCTCAGAGAACAAATGCTGAACGCCTTAGAATGGCGAGTCATGCATGGGTCTATTGACTGAGTCTCTGGTTGTTTACTTCCTCAATGTATGGTCTAAGGGGACATGTGTCCACCAAAATCCCACTGGTTCTCACCTGATTTTCGCTCACTTTAAACAATTTGAACAGTGTACAAATACATGCCAGGAGTCAGAGTATAAGTGCCCCTCATCTCTTGATCAATTACATTAACCTTGGGAGTACTGTAAAGGATTCTTGGCACTCTTGCTCAGTGAAAATTTTGACCCAATATGTCATTTTCTTTGCATTTCTAGGGGTTAAAAATGACACTAACCAGGCTGCTTTCCTGCCTCCTCCAGATTGGAGTTCCCGTCTCGATCTGGAACAGCTGCTGGGAGGAACATGCTGCTGGGCATCACCATCTCAGGGGTGGTCACCTGAGAAATAAGAGGCAGAGAAATGAGGAGAGTCAAATGGAGAGGAAAGAGACACAAAACAGGGAAATGTGTAAAAATTATTTAATAAGCAAAATTAGCCCTCACCAGTGTAAAGCTAGAAGTGTCACTTTTCATAGCTCACTGAAGATTCATGTTTATTAGACAAAGCTCACATCAGTCAAAAGTGTTTCTACGGTTACATTCTGGACATAATTAGCAGTGCACACTTGAAGAATAATCTTATTATTAATATTTTTCCTTTATGCAGAATTTTGACTTTGATCACTGACAATGTTTTGTCATGGGCTGTGAAACTTCTTGTGCAACCAATTAGGTAGATAAGTTGAAAGGCCCACCTTAAGCTGCTGAAAACATAATAAGGGCCCTAATTAAATCATACCTAGTAAAGTACACTGTAATCTTGAAGCAGGGAGCATTGTAGTACTGTTTTCAAAATGTATTCAGGCAAGAAGAGGAGGGGAATGAGAGCGAAGGAAAGGGTAAGAAGAAGAGAACAGAACAAAGAGAAGGCTAAGGACACGCAGACACATTGGCAGATCCTCCAGGAAACATTTTGTAACCCTTTAGAAGCTAGATCAAGTGCAAACGAGCATTTCTTATGACTCACTTCAGCCAGGATTTCCTTTGGAGTCTTTGCTCGAGGTACTCAGAATCATTGGGAAGCTCTGGCCAGTGTCCCAGCCACACAGGGTGCCTTGCACAGCATTCTATACCAGGGCTGCACCACCTTGACCGTGGCTATTGTTTACTAATATAGCAATTGCAGAATCCGCCTGGATCAAAAGAGCTGTAATTTTATTTTATTTATTTTTTTTTTAATTTTTTTTCAACATTTATTTATTTTTGCGACAGAGAGAGACAGAGCATGAACGGGGGAGGGGCAGAGAGAGAGGGAGACACAGAATCGGAAACAGGCTCCAGGCTCTGAGCCATCAGCCCAGAGCCGGACGCGGGGCTCGAACTCCCGGACCGCGAGATCGTGACCTGGCTGAAGTCGGACGCTTAACCGACTGCGCCACCGAGGCGCCCCGAGAGCTGTAATTTTAGATCAGATCCTCAGACACTTCTCTAGGCTTCTCTGCCATCTGGCTGGAAGTTTGTCTACATAAGTTATCATTTACCAGACATTAATGTGATAAGCAGCCCTCAAATCCAACGTAAGGATAAAACGTTCTTGATTTAAACAGAATATCCCTTTGCCTGCTACAGGGTGGAAAGGTAGTAGGCGAAGATATTGCTACATGAATTAGAAATTATCTCCTGTTTGATGACAGCCTAAGAAATGAGCTGAACAGAAACTGGAGTCACACCCCTAGCCTTTCTACATGGCATCCAGCCCTACCTGAAGGAGTTATCTTCCCATGAAACACAGGTATCTCAGGATCTTTACTTGCTGTTGCAAAGACTGGAACACCTATATTACTGTTCAAAATTAAATATTTTAAATAAATTATTAATTTTTTAACGGTTTAAAGATCCTGGCCTTGCTCAAAATAGCTGCTGACATGTTCCCTAGAAACATCGTGACAGGCTCCAGTCCTAGGGGAAACCCACACAACGGTCCCCATAAACACCAAAAAGGGAACACCTCAATACCTTTCGGGGTATTAGAATAATTTCAGCAGTTCAGATGCTGATAAGGTGCAGAAATTAAGCAACAGGCGCTACAGAGAAGGGTTCTGAGAAAGCTCACGTTTATGAAGAGCAGGTGCAAGGCAGGTGAATGTGCATGACACAGAATTCCTGCTCCCAGATATCTGCACCCTCACACAAAGCTCGTCGGCAGCTGGTTAAGGCTAGCTGTTGATGAATCGTTAGGAATGGAGCAGAGATTGCCAAACTCATTCCATCTATTTTCTTTTTAATAGAAAGCATTTCTGACCAGTGTGGTTGGGGAGTCCAGCGGGAATCCAAGAAGTGAAAGGTCACCGATTAATTTATAGTCTTCAGCCAAGGGGGAGCACGAGGTTGGGGGCAAGAGGGGGAGAAAGGGAAAGGAAAAAAGACTCCCCCCCACCTCCTTTCTCAGTTGTAGCTGCAGGATCAGTCCTTTCCAGGGATCTTTAGGAATTATGAAAAATGAATCATGAGAAATAAAAAAAAAAAAGCCCTACAGAGTAAAAAAGAATAAAATTATCTAACACCTCAGCTGCACATCATTATAGAAAACTGTGGGCTTTTTATACGCATTACAGTAAGGCAGACATCCCCTCTAACAGACTCAGTACGACGGATCAGTAATTGTTTTCATACACTTTAATTAGAAAAACTCAGATGGCTATGAATAATAATGGAAAAGAGAGACTTTTGCACTTGAAAGGTTGAAGTCAATCAAGTGTGAATGACGGCAAAAAAGAAAAAAAAAAAGACACCAATTCATCAGCCCTCTGTTGTCTCGCCGCGACTTTAATCATAATTCCTGATTGGGATTCAAGAAGGCAGTAAGCAGAGGTTCTTTGTCTGCCTTCACCTTCCATCAATTAACTCTTCCCGAAATATAATCATCAACCTCACATGCTCCTCTGCATCTTAATCTGGGCCTCCAAACCTGTAAGTCTTGCCCCATATGTGTTTAAGTAATTACTTTTATCTACCTGCATCTTCTCATCTGTAGTGTCCTCAAATTCTCTGGGGGGAAAAAAAGATTTGGTATATAAAATTTTGATGGGCAAGAAATTCCCAGGAGGCAAAGAGGAATCTCCCTAAAGGGAATCCTGAGGATCTAGAAAGTCTGGTGGGGTGTATCTGCACATATGTCTCAACACAGAGATGGAGAATGGAAGCCTCCTTCCTGCACAGGCTACTGGAGGGCCCCAAGGCAGCCCTCAGACACTAAAGTTTCTGTGCCTTTGTTCATGTGTCTCTCTCCTCCTACTTTCCAGAGCTTCTCACTCAAACTCTGCATGCTTTTTTTGTAAAGAGCCATAAATACAGTCCTGTCAACAGCTCACTGAGGAAAACGAGAGTTGGCCAAAGGCAGAGTTCCGACATCTCCCTTGGCATCCCCCTCACCCCCTTGTTTTCTGGTCCTATATGACTACCAAGTGGCTTGGAAGGTTCAGACTCTCCTAGCCACAACTCTGATGGGTAGCTGAAAGTCACTGGGAAAGGCAGTCCCTCAGGTGTGCTGAGCACTGTTCTGTGAAGACCCTCCCTTTCGCTAGGTGCACTGGAGCATGCAGGTGTGTGAGAGGACACAACCTGACTGCAGCATAACCAGAACCATCCCAGATGTGCCCAAACCTCAGACACCCTCAAATAACAGGATGGCACCACCTTCCCCTGCAGAGAAAACACATGCATGCATATGCTCTCTTTCCTCCCTCCCTCCCTCCAATCTCCCTCTTCCTACTTCTACTCCAGATTCAAAAGCCAAACGAAAAGTTTCAGATTTGGCCAGATGACAACACAATTGGTACAAACAACTATACTTTCTCCATGTCACTATTCCATCCATGTAGATTGATTTTTCTCATAATCTATACATCCATCAACACTGAATATGTTAAATTATGTCCCAAATACTCTATGTATACAGGGGACCAGAGACTATTAAAACAGACTTTTTTTTTTTTTTGGTTATAGTATTTCACTGATAGATTTTGTGTGTGTGTGTTTTTAAATAATTTACTGTCAACTTAGCTAACATACTTTTAGCCTGGCCTTGGCCATGCAACAGGCAATTCCATGGTAATCTTCTAGATACCACATACGTTCCTGAGAGTCTTCAGAGTTGATGGGAATGCAGGAAAAAATCACCTTTGGAACTGAGGTAGTGACAGAAAAGTGGCTGTGAAATCTTCTTAAGTAAATAGGTCTCATATATACAAGAGAAATATGGAGTTCTGCTTTGATGCCAGAAATCTTGAAGTTGAGGCAATTCTCATAAACAACAATAGAAATAAAAGAGTTCCACACTGACACTGAAAGTCTTCAAGCTTAAGCAATTTCAAAACAACTTAGTTGTTGAGAAAGAAGGGCCTCAAGTGACTCTGCTTACCCATCCATTTGACCATCATTCACTAGATATCGTACAGGGTCCCTGTATTGCACGCCTGTTAAGATATGGTGAGACAAAGTCCCTGTGCCCAAGAAGCTCACAAGCCAGAATAAATAACCTTTCACAGATCATAACCTTAGAAAATCTGAGGAAGGCTGCAGATGCCTAAAAACATACTTTCACACAGAAACTACTACAGATAATTTCAGGAAATCACAGGCTCCCTAGAGAAAAATCCATGGACTCAAGTTAACTGTCCTTGAACTACCAGGAGAGGTGACATGGATTCATAAATACCTAGTTCCCACTTCTGTTTGGCTCACCATTGTTTCGGATTATGACTTGATTCTTTTCAAAGCTCCAAGGACACTCCTTATAAAACCCAGAGGGTTGGATGTGGGTCTGGCTGCCACTATGACATTTGGGAGGGACCACCGGTGTTTATTGTTTCTCGGTAGAAGAAGCTAGAGTTATAAGGAGCTCTCTCGCTTCCTGCTTTCTCCAGATCATGGATGTGGAATGGCCAAATAAAGCACCCTGAACAGCCAAGGGGTATATACCATGCTAAGTTCTCATGGGACTATCCATGCAAATTTACCACTCAAGGCCACCTTGTCTGACTTAGACCGATACAACCAACGTGTTCCACACGCTGGAAAGCAAAGATACTATCCCTACACCCTTGCCATTGCTCACCTAAGTAGGGGATCTTTCTAAAAGGTTCACTACTCCAAGTGAAAAAATACGTTTGACAAAACCTAGACTCCTAAGGAACCCTCAAATCTTTCACTTTTCAGTAAAAATCATTAGAATGAACCACCTCAGATAAGAGAAGACGGGAAAGCCTCAGACACAGGCATTCCTGATGCAGACCTGGCCAGTCTCCACATCCTTGTAAGTAAGGAACTGCTTCTGTTAATACTGAAGTTCAAACCCAGATGCTTCGGGAGCTCAGCATTCTAGCTAGTGGTATGTCTGC